CAATTTCACACGGAAGTGCATTTTTTTTCTCCAAAAATTACCATATACAAATGTGATATAGATTTTTTTACAACAGTTCAATAAACTAGAAGTTTTATTAAGAGACTTACGTTTTAGACACCATATTGCCTGTTTTTGCACTATTTCGCCAACAAAAATAATTCCAAACAAAGCCACAGCGCTGTTTTGCGTCTTTGAGCAACATGACAGCTTTCAACTGACAGATCAACTGTTTAAATGATTCGGTACTAGGGATATTTTGTATGGAATATTGTCTGCTGACATGAAAAGTTCACTGTATATCGTAGTAATAAATATCATTTATTACAGCAATGATATTTTGTTTTCTTTTTAATTAATACACATTAGATATTACATATATGTATGTAATAAAATGTGTATTTCCATTTAGGTTTAGGTCTTAAATTCCATATAAGGTGGTATTAAAAAGGTCTTAAAAAGTCTTAAATTAAACTGGTTCATGTCTGTAGAAACTTAGTTAGCATTAGTAGAACAGTAGAGAAGATTTTTAGCTGGAACACTGGTCTTTGGTGATTCATAAAATGCAAGGCAATGGCTACCGGCACTTTGAGAGTAAAAAAAAAAGCATATTAGAGAGCACAATATTAATACCCATGGCTTCTGATGATATATTGAGGTCTTATGAAGCGAAACAAGCAGTCTGTGCAAGAAACTGAGCATTATTTACAACATTATTACCTCTAATCCAGAGCCTCAGACAAACAGTCCGGAATGATGTCTGGTTTACGAACGAATCATTCTTTTGAACCAGTTCACCAAATCAGACTGAACCATCAACAGTTCGCAGCTCGAGCAGCACAGATCTACAAGTTACTCAATCAAAACTCACTTTAGGCAGGCACGGCACCTGATAGTCGAAATGAGCCAATTTATTGGCGTATCTGATCCTCTGATGCTGGTTTTTCCCAACAGTTACTCCTGAACTGCCGAGGGTTTCATAAAGGGAGCGAAATGTATGTTTCTGATGTATTTGCATTCGCATTTCACATCATTTTTGGGTGCTTTAATAATATAATTGCTTATGCCTGATATCATTGCAAGATTATGTAAACGAACTGGAGAATTGGTTATTTGAACAACTTCATTCAAACGAACTGTCCAAAAAAAAAAAAAAACAGTTTGTAGAAAAGAATCAGACTTCCCTATTGGATTACGGATGTTGTAAATAATGTTTAGTTTCTTACACAGACCGTTCACTTCTCTTCATAAGACCTCAGTAGTCAAGTCACCTTTATTTATACAGCGCTTTATACAATACAGATTGTGTCAAAGCAGCTGCACAGTGTCAAACAGGAAAACATATGTGCTGATAATGCAAGAGGACATTAGAAATTGTGTGTTGTCTGTATATGCTTTTTTGACTCTCAAAATGACGGTAGCCATTGACTTGCATTTTACGAATCACCAAGGACCACGGTTTCAGCTCAAAATCTTCTTTACTGTTCTACTGAAGAAAAATGGATGACCTGAGGGTTAGCAAATTTAACAGCGAATTTTAATTTTCGGGTAAACTATCCCTTTAAGTTGTAAATATGCTGGTTTTAATGAGGTATTTCCTGTGTTTGCAGGTCGGTGCGTGTGAGTAAGAAGTGCTGGCACATGCTGGTTAACCTGTGCTTGCATATTCTTCTCACCTGTGCTGTGTTTGTGGGCGGCATCAACCAAACGTACAACGCAAGCGTTTGTCAAGCGGTATGTGCCTGCTTTTCTATGTATATATGGAGTTTGGGTGCCAATATTTACATAAAATTCAGTCTCTAAATGTTTCTCGGTTTATAGGCAGAACTGCAGTACTGCTTTCAAGTTCACATTACTCGTTTGAGAGTATCAGCATTGTCATTGACTTTGAGGAGAGCTCTTATGTTTTCTAATGTCATGTCCTGAAGGTGGGAATAGTGCTGCATTACTCCACGCTGGCTACGGCCTTGTGGTCCGGCGTAACGGCACGCAACATCTACAAACAGGTGACGCGGAAGGCCAAACGCTACGAGGAGCTGGACGAGCCTCCGCCTCCACCCAGACCTATGCTGAGGTAAAGGTCAAAGCAGTGAATGAGGAGGAGAAGTGTTAAAAAAGGCAGAAAAGTACACTCTAAAAAAATGCTGGGTTAAATACAACCCAGTGCTGGGTAAAATAGGGACAAACCCAGCAATTGGGTTGTTTTGACCCAGCAGTTGGGTTACTACCCAGAAGGTTGGGTTAAACATTTAACCCAACCGCTGGGTCAAAACAGCCCAATTGCTGGGTTTGTCCCTATTTTACCCAGCACTGGGTTGTATTTAACCCAGCATTTTTTAGAGTGTACTATGTAATAATAATAATACATTAAATAAATGAATGTACTAATAAATAATATAATACATATAAATGATTAATAATCATTTTAAAAAGCAAGCACACATGCTGTGACCTATTTTAGGGTACAGAGAGTCTAGAAATGTCATTTTACACTTAAATTGCCCAAAAGGCAAGACTGTGGGTTTTAAATTAAGTTCCCCTGCTGACCACTTGGTGTCAGTAAATATTCAACAGAAATTGTCCATGGATTGAATGAAAATTCTGTCATTTACTCACGAACACTCCCTGTCATTTCATAGTCTTTCTCTGTCATGAGAAATTGCTTTTGCTGTCACTGGAGCCTAATGCCCATGTATTGTAAAGTGCAGAATAATGCTTTATAAAGGAGAGAGTAGTTTAGACCTTCTGAAGCTGTGTGAACCTAATTACGGTGCTCTATTTTTGGCTCCCCACCTTGTGTGTGTTGGTTTCCCATGCTCCCTTCTTTCACTTGTGACAGCTGTTTGGATTGTGTAACAGCGTGGTTTAATTTGAAAATCCAGACCATCTGAGATCTTTGGGTTTAATTAATCTCACACTACCTTGACAAAAGAAAAACCGCTCTGCTGAGCATCACAGAACTCAGAAGTGCCTCATAAGTGTTTTACGTCTCTGATAATATGAAGCCCTTGATACCACTAGTGCAAACTTAAGAACTTGTATATACTTAATGTAAAAGCTACTTTTTGGAGAAAAGTGAGTGACAGCTGCGGTGATTTATAACGGGATGGGAGTTTTCTAGCGCTGTTCTATGTGTATTTTATGCACAGTTTAAATTTAATTTCGGTTTTTCATGCTGCCAAGTAGGACAATACGACGTTGATTTACTGAAGTGTAAAACAGCAATAAAGTAATTCTCTTAAAGTACATAACGATATATCAGCACAACATCAGTATTTAAATGTAAATTCTATTAATCAAAACAAAAAAAGAGAAAGATCATATGTAGTTATTGTAATTTTGTAAATAGTTTCATTTTATTTTATTATTATTAATGCAATTTTTATTGCAATCAGTATAATCTTTGATGCTGATATGACAAACAAATAATTAAATTTTTATTGTCATTAATATAATCTTGTTGATATGACAAAAAAAATGAATTAATCAACATTAATAATAATCACTATTATAATGTCATGGGAAATAATCGACCATTATGATTTTTGTCATAATTAAGCAGCCCCAGCTAAATGTATTTATGATTGTTTATTGTGAACTCTTTTATTAAATTAACAGTTTATTGAAGGAATACAGTTTTTGAGTGTTAGACAGCAATATAAGCATTAAAGTGTATATAGAATATTTCTGGCAGATTATTATTATTATTATTGCCATATATATATATATAGCATATATAACAAAGAGTGAAAAATTTAAGGGGGTCTGAATACTTTCCGTACCCACTGTAAGCATTAAAGTGTATATAGAATATTTCTGGCAGATTATTATTATTATTATTGCCATATATATATAACATTTTCTGATATGGCAATTAAAATAATTAATCAACATTAATAATCACCTTAATACTTTATTTTAATGCATCCTTGTTACACTACAGGTATTTGATATAGTTATATATAGTAAATAATGCATAAATACAAGCAACTAATACTAAACCAAACCCCAAACCTATAGTAAGCACATGTTGTTAATTAATATTACTTATTGTGATAGTGTAAATTACATTGTAAGTATTGGCAAATTAAAATAAAGTGACAATAATCACAATAATTACATAAAGTAACAATTACATTATGGGAAATAATCAAACATTAACATTTTTGTTGAATGTATTTATGAATGCATAATTTGAAGGCATTTTAGCTGTTGTGTCGCGATGTAACACAAGCAGCAACAGATATTTTCTGTCATATTGTGTCAAATGGATTATCCAAAAAAAGTAGGGTGGGACTTGGTTCTATTCATCGGTTGTTGATTGGATGGAGGCAGATCTGAATGCAGGCTTGCAGTTTTTGTAAAAAAGGGGGTTAAAATGGACTAAATTATTGGAGAAGTCCAGCATACATCACCAGAGAGAAGTCTGTCATTTCACCGGAAGGTCCAGTTATGATATTTTGATTAACGATAACAAAGTCAACAAAATTGTTGTAACACGTACACAGATTAATTGCTCACTTAAGAACAATAACATGCATTTCGAAAATAAATGGGGTGAAGTCTATAAAAAAACACCTGTTGTCTTTCCTCAGCTGCTGGATGGCATGGGAACCCAGTCTTGGTGCGTTTTACGGCCCGGCAGCCTTCATCGTTTTCGTGGACTGCATGTACTTCCTCAGCATTCTCGTTCAGCTCCGCCGGCACCCCGAGCGCCGCTTCGAGCTCAAGGAACAGTCTGAGGAACAGCAGCACCTTTCTGTGGCCGAAGCGACCGAAATCACACCGGCCCACCTGGAGTCCTCGTCTGCAGCCGTCGATCAACCGGTCCCGATGTCGGCTCTGGAGAACGAACATACTTTTGTGGCCCAACTCATTGGCGTGGCAGGGTCTCTTGCGCTTTATGTCGCTCTGTGGGTGTTTGGTGCTCTTGCGGTGTCCCAGGAGCATCCGGCAGATTTGGTGTTCGCCTGCCTCTTCGGCGCCGCCGCTTTGGCTCTCGGGGCGTTTCTTGTGGCGCACCACTGCGTGAACCGTCAGGACATGCGGCGTCATTGGTCACGAGCTTGTTGCCTGGTTCGCCGTAACTACGCCGTAGAGGTTGATTCCCTGCTGTTGCCTGTCGCCGGTGGCTCCGTCTTGACAGCAAGGGGAAACGGCGAAACTGTGAAGTGTCCAGCCAGCAGCGCCGAATCCTCGTGCACTAATAAGAGCGCGCCGAGCGTCCGTAACTCCACCCAGGGCTGTAAACTGACCAATCTGCAAGTGGAAGCCGCTCAATGCAAAGCGGCCCCTTCTATGGAGAGTTCTGGGAATATCAAGACTGGCTTGTGGAAGCATGAAACTGCTGTGTAGCGAGATTCCCTTCTCAGAGACTACAAATCTGACTTTTACCTGTAACTGTGAATCTCTAATTTTATGATTTTGATCCGAATGGTACAGATTCTAAAAACAGTTCCTGAAAGAATTCGCGTTTTCATGTCTATGTGAGAAAATGCCTACAAATGCATATAGTTTACCACTTGGCTGCATCATAGTCAGTCTACAAATGGTCTATTTTTGTATCCTTTCAGCTCATTTCGTATTTCATTCTGACATTTTGTACGCGAAGATGTGCTGCCCTTTGAGTATATATGTTGGCTGAAACTCTTATATTCCCATGTTTAACGAAGAGTTGTGGCCGTCAAATAATTAAAAAATCTCTTTACGCAACCCACTTCATCTCATCTCTGAATTCAAAGGTGAGTTCATCGGGGAGTTTCCTCTAGGACTTGTGGTTTCAAGTAACTGGGAGCTTATTTTATGATTTTGGATCTGAATGGTACAGTTTGTAAAAATAGTTGCTGAAAGAATTGGCGTTTTAATGTTTATGTGCAAAATTTGAAGAAAATAAAAAAAATCCTGCAAATGCATTTAGTTTCTAGCTTGGCTGCATCATAGTCAGTCTATTTTTGTGTCCTTTAAGCCCATTTTGTATTTCATTCTGACATTTTGTACGTTGGGCACGGGCTCAGCAACAACATGGGGAACGGCGTCAGTAATGGAGGCTTAGTCGGAGGAGGGGACGGATCGGGGACCGACGTCACCAGCCAAACTAGAGACTGTCCAAAACAGCCCCTCGCTGTTGAACTGGAGGTGCAGCCCAAGTCTTACGGGTTGAACCTAGCGTGCCAAAACGGACCTGCCAAAGACGCCGAGAGGCTACAGAATTTGTCGCCCCTGAACGTGGAGAGTTCTGGGAATATCAAGACTGGCTTGTGGAAGCATGAAACTGCTGTGTAGCGAGATTCCCTTCTCAGAGACTACAAATCTGACTTTTACCTGTAACTGTGAATCTCTAATTTTATGATTTTGATCCGAATGGTACAGATTCTAAAAACAGTTCCTGAAAGAATTCGCGTTTTCATGTCTATGTGAGAAAATGCCTACAAATGCATATAGTTTACCACTTGGCTGCATCATAGTCAGTCTACAAATGGTCTATTTTTGTATCCTTTCAGCTCATTTCGTATTTCATTCTGACATTTTGTACGCGAAGATGTGCTGCCCTTTGAGTATATATGTTGGCTGAAACTCTTATATTCCCATGTTTAACGAAGAGTTGTGGCCGTCAAATAATTTAAAAATCTCTTTACGCAACCCACTTCATCTCATCTCTGAATTCAAAGGTGAGTTCATCGGGGAGTTTCCTCTAGGACTTGTGGTTTCAAGTAACTGGGAGCTTATTTTATGATTTTGGATCTGAATGGTACAGTTTGTAAAAATAGTTGCTGAAAGAATTGGCGTTTTAATGTTTATGTGCAAAATTTGAAGAAAATAAAAAAAATCCTGCAAATGCATTTAGTTTCTAGCTTGGCTGCATCATAGTCAGTCTATTTTTGTGTCCTTTAAGCCCATTTTGTATTTCATTCTGACATTTTGTACGTGAAGATGCATGATGTGCTGCCCTTTGAGTATATGTTGGCTGAATCTCTTATATTCAAACGTTTTCACACAGTAAAGTAGAGTGCATATGCATATAGTTTCCCACCTGGTTGGGTCATTGTCAGTCTACAAATGCTCTATTTTTGCATCCTTTAAGCCCATTTTGTATTTCATTCGTTGAAGATGCATGATGTGCTGCCCTTTGAGTATATGTTGGCTGAATCTCTTATCTTCTGTGTTTTCACAAAATTGCAGCCGTCAAATAATAAAAAAATCTTTACGCAGCCCACTTCATATCATCTGTGAGTTCAAAGGTGAGTTCATCTGAGAGTTTCCTCTAGGTCTTGTGGGTTTGGAGTAATTGGGATCACATTGTGCGATTGCGTCTGTTTCATGGAGGCTCTAATTGAGGTGCAGGTCTTGATATCTACCTGTTTTTTCACCACTTTGCTGGAACCAGTTCGATGGGCATGAAATTGTAGGCCGCTGCCTCCAGAGCTCGATGCCCACGCAGTGATTGATGGCTGACTCTCAGGTCGGGCTGCCTGTCATCATTAGCGGTGACTGGAATATAATTGCTGTAGTGCAGCCTCACCTTTCCTACCCCCTTCTTGTCTAACTTGCCACAAGTCTGTCGAGCTCTTCCCGGCAGTGTAATACAGGATCGAGTGAAGGAAAATAGAATAATGCTTTACTCGCTCATACACATGTAGCTAAAAATAGGGGATCAGAATGCAACTTTTAGCGTATTCTTTCAGCAACCAATACTTTGTGAGTTTAGTGATACTAATGAAGTCCACAGGGGTTTCTCTTTGTTAAATTAGGCCATATATCAATATTTCTCAAGACATTGAATAAAATTGAGATTATTGCTTTCATAATACGCAGACGGATTTTTGCACAGAGCAGATTCTCTTCTTGTGATGAGAAAGTGCCTGCCTAGGATGTAAATATGAATGTTAAGATTGATGATTAATAATCGTTTCAATGACATGATGATATTTTTATCTTAATTTATTCAAAAATGCATTAAAATAAATCAAATGCATTTTAAAAGTAACAAATGCATTATCCTAATTTATTAAAATGCAAAAAATAAAATAAAAACTGCACTGAAATTCTTGAAAGGAAACATTAAAATAGTTTGGCATAATTGTTTCCTAGGAAGAAAAAGGAATCAGTCAAAAAAAATAATATAAAAATCAGGGTGATAAAATTTTCTTGATATAATTAATAAAAATGAAATTTTTGAAAGGAAACTTTTAAATAGTTTGGCATAATTAATTCTTAGGAAAAAAAGAATCAGTCAAAAAAAAAAAATCATGTAATTTATTTAAACTTTTCCAGTAAGTATTCTCAAAATTAACATTTCGTGTACTATGACTCCTCAAAAAAAAAAAAATTTTTTTTATTTTATTTTTTATTCAATTTATTTTAAATGTTTAAAATTTTGCATTTTTCAAGGTGTAAGAAAAATGTTGTAACTTTTTACTTGGTGACGCCACAATTTTCAATTTCAAAACCGTGGTACATCAATGCAAGTGCACTAATCTGTTACTACAGTGGAATGTGTATATATGTAGTTACACAAGATGTTTCAGTGCAAGAGATGCATATAAAGATAAAATTATTTACATAAATGAAAAGGAGATTCTTTTTGGGATCAGTTTGTTCCACTGACCTTGTTTTACCACATGGAGCTGTTGATTCTTCCTTGATGTCCAGTGAGTTTGTCCAGATGGATTCATGGGTGACATGCCACCTTCATGTCCCAGAAATCCACTTCCACGGTAATGCAACGGACAGTAATCCTGAAAGATGTTCTAAAGTGTGTTCTATCAGTTAAGCCCATGAACTCTAACTTCTTTGTGAAGGTCATGCAGGAGCAATTCATTCAAATATTATTGAACTTATCCATTAACGTCATCTGACTTAATGATGAACAAGAGACAATATGTTCTTCATTTTCAGCTCACTAATGAGATATTAAAAGCATATTTTGCACAGACAAAGATATATTGCCAGACCCTCCTGAATGTGACAATGAGAAAAGGCTTTGAATTATGTATGGAGCATTTATGATCCAACAAAACTACAATATGCCACCCTGTGTGTGTTCAATTGTAGTCTTTCTCTCCTGTCCCATGTGCCCTTTAATAAATCAGTGCTTCAAGTCTTAATCTTTTGACACTAAACTTAGATGTAGAAAGATCTAATATCAAAAGTTTTAAAGATTCAACTGAAAAAAAAAGTATTTTCAGTGTTTTTGAAAGAAGTCTCTTATGCTCATCAAAGCTGCATTTATTTGTACAGTAAAAACTGTAATATTGTGAAATATTATTACAATGAAAAATTACTGTTTTCTATTTTAATGTACCTTAAAATATAATTTATTCCTGTGATGCAATGCTTAATTTTCATCAGCCGTTATTCCAGTCTTCAGTGTCACATGATCATTAAGAAATCATTCTAGAATGCTGATTTATCATCAGTGTTGGAATCAGTTGTGCTGCTTAATTTATTAATTTTTTTCAGAATTCTTTGTTGAATAGAAAGTTAAAAAGAACATTTAATAAAAAATAATAAAAAATATTTTGTAACTATACACTACCATTCACAAAGTATTTTTTTTAAAGAAAATAATGTATTCATTCTGCAAAGATATGTTACATTGATAAAAAGTGATAGTACAGACTTATACTGTTACAAAATATTTCTATTTTGAATAAATGCTGTTCTTTTGAACTTTTTGTTCATCAAAGAATCCTGAAAAAATATATATATATAACTCACCAGATTTGCATATCGGAATAAGTCAGAGTAGCTTTGAATTATTTAGATTGGCAAATGTGCTTTAAAAGCATCTGGCAGTGTGTTTAAGGCTCGCCTCAAAGATGAAGATTGATATCTTCCATGCTTTCCCATCTGTGCCTGATGGTGTTAGCTTGACTAAAGCATAGGAATGAACATACAGTTACCTACATCTGACTAACTAGACGTGATGTCAGTAGCAGCAGACATGTAATCAGATATCATCAGTGTTGGGAAGGTTACTTTGGAAATGTAATAGGTTACAGATTACAAGTTACCCTACTTAAAATGTAATAAGTAGTGTAACTTTTCAATTACTTTATAAAAGTAATGTAACTGATTACATTTGATTACTTTTTGATTACTTTTCTAAATTTATATATTTTAATCCTTAACATTTTCATAAGTAACTGTAATTTAATTACATGTTTTTTCTCAGTAACTGTAACTGATTACAATTACTTTTATTTTGTAATTAAATTACGTAATTCCGTTACATGTAACTAGTTACTCCCCAACACTGGATATCATATATCAAACCCTCCTCCTCCTTAATGCATGTGAGTACTGTACTCCAGTAATATTTGCTGTGATAATATGATGCTCTTTAAAGGGGTCAT